CCTCTATAACTGTTTACAACATGGTTAGACAACTGTGAAGTAAGTAGAATTAGAAGTACTATAGAAAGGATTCTGAAGGCTTTCTAGAGATGTGCTCTGGTAGTTCTATGTTCTAGGCAAATAAGTCTCAAGAATTAGGTTAGAAGCTTGTGACATGGCCCAGTGAATAAAGATACTTGCATCCAAGATTGGCAGGGCAGCCTGACTTAGATCCACAGAACCTATAAGGTAGAAGGATAGAACATACTCTCTGACTTCTACATACACACTATGCATGGCATACCATTCTTCAGGTCTACACAAAAAAAGTAAATAACTGTCAAAACAAAACTTTAGCCAGATTGAGTAGCCTTTCAGCTTAGACATAGATTAATCTAGACAACAGCCTGAGATGTTGGTCAAGCATACATATTTCCTGGTAGGCCTATAGAAACTCAGAGCTTTTCCAGCATTATGTACCTACTTTGGCTAAGATATGTAAATTTACTAGTATATGAACTTGTTACCTAGAACTGATGGTCATACTAAATATATAGGCCCAAATAAGGAACACATTTTCAACAGTCCCCTGGAAGTAATGATGATTGATAGGTTTATTATGCTCAAGAATGATTCATGAGTTATCATTTATTTCTTGAAGAAAAATTTTGTCCCTTCAGACTATTTATAAAATTTATAAAAGTCTATCAAAGGTGTTCGAAATAAAACATAACATACATTGAATCTTAGAGGGTTTGTGGACTTGTTTCTGGATGCTGACACAAATAGTTACTGCTATGTATAACATCTTTGCTTCTCTCCCAGAGAGCTTAGGGTTTGCTGAATTTAATTCCGAGGTCATATACTACAACTCCCCAGTTTAGTGGAAAATATCCTTATTGCACTTGTTAAATTGGTTATACTGAAAACATTCAAGGTAAAATTGTAACTATAAAGCTGCAACTCTGAGTCTTCTGTGACATTAAACACACGTTCTGGAAATAATATTAGACTAGTGAACATCCTTCAGTAATGACTATGAAATCATGAAATCATTCAGTGGGATATATACATTCTATTACATAAAGGAAAGTAATCACAAAATTATATTAATTTTTTTCTATTGTTGTCTTTAAACACCCTAGGAAACATAGCTACAGGGAGTATGGGTTTATTAGACTGACAGCTCCAGGCTGCAGTCCATCATTATGGGGAAGCCAACGCAGCAGTGACTTGAATCAGATAGACAGACACATTCTGTCTGGTGCCAAGAGCAGAAAGAACAATGGATGGACTCACCTTTGCTCAAACTCTTCCTTCTCTTCTCTCTTTTCCTTCAGCCCAAGGTCCAGCTGATTAAAACTTTTCACATCAACTAACCCAATTAAACAATCCCTCACAAGCATGCAGGTAAGCCAGAATAATCTATATAATTCTCTAGTGAGCTTTCCCTGCAATGTGATTCCAGAGTTTGTAATGTTGGCAATTGGCTCCAACAATCACACATGATCATCTTACTGAAAAATGCCATCTTATGAAAAACATGCTAAGCAATCAAGGTTCATAACAAAATCACCTGATCCTGATAAAAAAATATCTATGGTGGTGATATTTTAGTTGTATTGAAATGTGATTTTATTTGTATGTTAATAAATAAAGTTGCCTGGGGGTCAGAACTCATAGCAATCCATAGCAGAAGCTGGGCAGTGGTGGTGCACACCTTTGATCCCAGCTCTTGGGAGGCAGTGCTAGGCAGATCTCTGTGAGTTCAAGGACACAGCCAGCATGGAGACACAGGCCTTTAATCTTAATACCAACCATAGAAGACCTGGAGGTCTGTACAAACAGGCAGTGACAAGGAGGTCATGTGGTTGGGTTTACAACCAATGAGAAGGCGGAATAGAAAGTCTATAAAAAAGACAAACAGACAGGAAGTAGGTCTCTTGCTGAGGAGGACAGCAATGGCAGTGAAGGGTAAGGTTTTTAGCTCTTAGCTATCGCTCTGACCTCCTGGGCTTTCATCTTTGAATTGGCTCTGTGTTTCTTATTTAATTAGACGGTTACATCTACAAATATCTATGAATAATTCACAGTTTACATATTTGCTGGTGGATAACAAATGCTTTCCCTCTCTTATCAAAAATAGGATCATATCTTACAAAGTACTGTAGCTGGAGTTTTCTCCAGTCCCACCCGGGTCCGTAGCCGCTCAGACTCAAGTAAACACACAGAAACTTATATTATTATAAACTGTTTGGCTGTGGCAGGCTCCTTGCCATCTAGTTCTTATACCTTAAATTAGCCCATTTTTATAAATCTATATATACATTGCCACATGGCTCGTGGCTTACCCATACTTTCACATCATGCTTCCTCTGTCTCTGGTTGGTGACCCTCTCTCAGCCTTCCTGTTCCTGGAATTCTTCTTTCTGCTTATCCCACCTATACTATACTTCCTGCCTGGCTACTGGCCAATCAGCATTTTATTTATCAACCAATCAGAGCCACACATTCACAGCATACAGCAAGACATCCCCAGCAAAGGACTTTTGTTTAGAATTCATTGAAACTCTTTGACTCAGCAATCAATGTAAAGACAACTCAGTTATAAAATGTACCAATGATTTTAATGGGCATTTTCCTTACATGACACATACATATGGCCAAAGAAATGACATAGTGTTCAACACTGTGAGTCACCAGAGAAACACAAATAAAAATTCTAATAATACTGGGTCTTTTGTTACTGTTTTTTCACTTTGTGTAATGTTTTCAAAGTTAATCTATGTGACAGCATGTGTCAGAACTTCATATTTCATTATTTTTCCAAAAGTATTCTACTGTGTGTATGTTTGGCGGTCAGAGGGTGGGCATTAAGACAATTTACAAGTTTTGCCTATACAGATAATGCTGTCATGAACATGTTTGTGTAGGGGTGTGTGTGTGTGTGTGTGTGTGTGTGTGTGTGTGTGTGTGTGTGTGTGCATGTGTGAATGCATGTATGTGTGCATGCCTAGGAATAGAATTGGTGAGTCTGCCTAACATTTGGAGGAATTGTGCATCTGTCTTACAAAATCTACATCATTTTTCTTTCTCATCAGCAACATCCAAGTGAATCTAAACTATCAGTACCTTTGCCAACTTGTGTTTGTCTTTTGATTTTTAAGATCCTAGTAAGTATATATCCTATGTTTCTAGTAACAATTTTTTCCAAATATCTATTTCTGATGCTGGTGAAAGATTTCTAACTTTCCTTTGGGGTTTTATTTCTATGATATAGCATATGCTATTCTTAGCCCTCAACCTACTTGAGTCTTCCTTTCTTCTTCCTCCTCCTCCTCCTTCTACTCCTTCTTCTTCTTCCTCCTCCTCTTCCTCTTTTCTCCCCTCCTCTCCCAACCCTTACTGATATCTGTGCTTGTCAATTCTGACAACCTCTGTATTTAATGCTTGCATTTGCATATCTGTCCATTGATACTGGGTATCCATCCCAGGACTTTGGGCATACTAGGCAAGCAATCTAAAAGTAAACTCTGTTCTTGGCCCTTGAGTTTTATTTTCTTTTGAGTTAAGATCCCTCTATGTGACTAATACTTCATTTTAATGCCATTTATTACACTATAAGAATATGAATTAATATTATGTAAGTGAAGAATTTTGCATCAGCATTCCTTCAAATATAGTTTTGTCCCATTTCCCTCAATTTTCCTTTGGGACATACATTATGCAATTTGCTTGCTGATCCTCCACACATACTTAAAGCTCATTTTTTTCTATTTTCTCCTGAGGTTATATAGTTTTAATGACCTGCTATCAAATTTATTATTATTTTTTTTGCAAAACCCACTCTATTGTTGACTGTCTCTAGTGAATTTAGCTATGATATTTCCCAAATCCACAAATAAATATTTATAACTGATATTTAATAAGGCTTCATTGTCACACTGTGTTTTCATTATTACAATATTGCCCTTTTCTCATTAAAATATTTATAACTTGTTTAAAATCTTTGTCAGATAAGCATGGTGGAATACACTATGTAATCATAGTTATCATGCTGAGGTGAGCACATTGTGAGTTCAAGGTCAACCTGGGAAGCAGAGAAACCCTGTCTGAAAAGTAAACAAGTAAAGAAGTAAACAAGTCTTCCATTAAACCCAAACCCAATAGCATCTCTTGGATCTTTTTTCTATTATTTAGAGAATGTTAGTTTCTCTAATCAAACCCACATAATAAAGGCCTTATGTGTTTAATAGTTTGTATCAAAAACAACTAATTTTTTCTAGGTTCTATGGTCATCTGAGCAAAGTGCAATGACATCTAGAACAACCACCTAAGTGTGTGTATGTGTGTGTGCATTTATACCAAAACATTGATAATGTATAGCCATCACTATACATCATAAAGCAGGTACAGGATACATCACACTCATACAGGCCTGGTGCAGGACTATACTACATTCTTAATGCTAGAGGGTGCAGTCCTAACAGCATTACTTGAGTGTTGCTTTAGGTTTTCCATCAGAGTACTCAAAGGAGCACAAGACCAAGTTCTGCAGAGAAGTACAGTGCCATAGGATTTCCTTTCCTCTCACTAGCAATCATCCTCTCCACAAACATCAGCTGGAAGCATTCAAAAACATGAATCTACAAACACTAGATTTATAGAAAGATGACAGGGTGGAGGCAAGCATGACTCAATCCAACCAGGACTTCAGCAAATTTCTTATGTTTGGATAGTGATTTATTCAAGAGAGAAGAGAAGTGCCAAGTAGTATTTCAAAGCTTTGAAACACACTCAAAATGCACTATCATTTCAGTAGAGGCAGCAGCGAGGCATGGTTCATTTGGGGTGTGTTCAAAGATACTGACACTAATATTGAATCATTGTCTCAGGAAAATCACTACTGTATTTTGACTGTCCAGCCTAATCACCACAAAACAGAATTCTGCCATAAACAAAATAAAGCTCATCTTCAGCTCACCTCCAGGCAGAAAATCGCCCATCTCCACGGTCATTTAAAAGGATCACTTCTCTCTTTCCTCTGTATCTACATTTTATATTCCCTATTTTTGTTGTTGTTGAAAGTGACATGTGTCATAGTTTAGATCTTAAATGTCTCCCAATATCTATCTCATGTGTTGGAGTTTTGGTCCTCAACCTCACAGTAATCAGAAAGTAAGTCATTTGGGAGGTGGTTGGATAGTGAAACTTCTTATTTTATGAATAGATTAATTAGTTTATGGGCTCACAGACAAATGGGCTGTTGGAAGATAGTGGAAACTTTAGGTATCTTTCAGTGAGAAATCAGATAAATCAGAGGTCTCATTTGTCGTCTATGCATCCTGCTTCCTAAAAGGTAAAGAGAAAATTATGTTATTTATAGATAAACTACTAGGCAAGCTACAGTCTACATTTACATAAATTATTCAAATAATGTCACTTGGGTCTATTAACTAATAAAGTTAGAGAAGTTAGAATCTAAAACCAATTTTTAATAAAATTTTTGTGCTGTTATAAATCAACTCCTTGTGAAAGGAATCAGAACAATGATTAGTTAGCTAGTTAGGCTATGAAATGAGTAGTTGAAAATAAATGGCCATTAGGGACATGGCTTTGTTGAATTAGTTGTCTTTTGTGTGTTTCTCAGAAACCTTCATATATTGAGAGTCAATGATGATACTGATATTATATAATCCTTCCTAAAACTGATCATATACAGTATCTTATAAAATTGTCTTTCCAATTCAGTATTTAAATTTAAGCATGGTTTAATAAAAAATTTATGAGCTAACCAGAGAGAGTATAGTGAGAATTTGGAGGGAAATAATCGAATCACCTTGAGAACTTACATGGCAAGGTGAAAAGTGTTCAATATGTATGCTCTGCCATGAAATGAGTAACAAGATGAAGGCTTTCGCATACTAATCCTAGACACAAATGAAAAGTACCCAAACTGTTTCAAAGAGCATAGTAAAAAACGATGGAAACAAATTAAAAGCCTTTTTAAAGTGTGGGATAACCTCTGGTTACTTCCCATCAGTGTACCCAGGGGCAGCACACGACTACTGAATGATTGTGTCAAATGAAAGAAAATGTGACTCCAGTAGTACAACAAATAGCCAGTGAGAAATGCTGCATCACCACTAGAGAGCTTATTACCGAGCCATCTCTCCAGTCCCTTATTCTCTTTTAAAATTTGTTTTGAATGCTTTCTTTTTTTTAGCCATCTTTTATTATTTATTTTTATATATCAATTTAGATTTTATTAGCATACGAGGCAGTAGGTCCCATCATGGCATTTTCATGTATACTTCCTTCCAATTGGTCCCCTCCCCAAGTCTGTTCCCCCTTCTTACTGTCTCATTTCTCCCACCCTGTATCTCACACTTCTCATTTCATGCCGCATGTATTTCATTTTTTTGGTTGTTTTATGTCAGTTCATACTTAAGCTTTCTTTTTCCCATCTCATGGCCCCTTCCTTGTTTTATGACCTGTACCCATAAATAATTTGAATATAAACATGTATATGCTTTCTTAATATAAATATAGGTGTAAGTTAAAGTCTAGATCTGCACCTGAGAAAAGATATGTAGTATTTGTCTTTCTTTTGTTTAATGTAATGATTTCCAGTCCTGTTTATTCTCCTGTGAATATCACAGTTTTATGTTTATTTATAAAATCACATTTCACATATATACCATATTTTTTTTAATCCTTCTATCTGTTAATAGACGTCTAGATTGGCTCCATTTTCTAGCTCTTGTGCAAGGTACAGCAATAAAAAGAGTATGTAAATAACTCCACGTTTGGACTCTTCTTACCACAGCAGCTGTCATGTGCCAGTAGCTCCGCAGGTGGAGACAGAGCTTTGTGAGTCTCTCCTCTTTCTGTGCTGTGGTTTTGTGTGGCTTGATCATGTGTGGGTCTTATACATGTAGTCACAGGCTATGTGAATCCATGTTAAACAGTACTGTAATCTCTAGCAAGTACTCTGCAGACAGCCACAACCTGTATCTTTTACAGTCTCTCTGTCCCTTCTTCCTTGACAATCTCTGAGCCTCCAGGGTAGAGATGGGTTTATAAATGCCCCATCAAAAGCCCTTAAGAATCTCTTATTCTCTGCTGGTTGACCAGTGTGGGTCTCTGTCTGACTCAGCATCCACTGCAAAGAGAACATTCTCTAATGAGAGTTCAGAGATGGGCTAACCCATGGGTACAAAGGTAAGAATTCAGGGGACAGTTTACTACTCTGTCCATTCAGCAAAATACTAATACTGGCTGCTGTCTTTTGGACCACTGTCTGCAAGCAGCAGGAGAAAGAACAATACTAGTAATTCAAATTAGAAAGAAGTTCCTTTATGGAAATGCCCTTTCTTACAGAATTCCCTGGTCTGAGGCCTTCTGCTGGCCTGGAATTTTGTGGTTCCCTCCCCCATCCACTCTCTCTGTATATAGATGTGATGTGAAAGGCTCATCTGTCTGTGTTTACCTCAGTCACTAGGTACTGTCTTCCCCCCACAACTTTGCATCACAAGTGCTTTAAGCACTGAGGTTATTTCCTTGACCCCTGGAGTACCATTTTACCTGTTGTTTTGTACTGTTACAAATTTCTGTCATAGCCTTGTGTTATTTCTACATGTAAAAACTTCATGAAATGCTGCTTTAAGATCATGGTGATTTTTCTTCATTCACACATGTCTGTTTCCAATTTCCTCAAGAATGAACTACCTTATTAAGGTGAGAAATCTGATTCTTCACTATTGGGGTGTACATTTACCTTGTTTGTTTTGTTGACCTATAGAATGCTGGAGAAGTGATAGTGTGCCAGTCTGAGCCTAGCTGGACCTGAAGAGAGCAAGCATGATCTGACTGTTGCCGTTTCTCCTTTAGCAAAGGGTATCCATGTCAGAGAATCAGGATGGGGACATCTCGCTTCAAATTCCTGACCTGAAGAATCAGATGCAAATAAATTAGTGTGCTTTGTATCTAGAAAATATGCCAAATTAATAGAATAATAAAAATAATGTATACATATATGGGAGAGTTAAAAAAAATCTAAATTTCCATTTGAGATATTTCCCTCTAACAACTAAGTGACATAATTTGATAAGTTGGGTGTTGTGGTTAATATAAATTAGACTATGTATTTTTCATCTGTTAACGTAAATAAAAAATGTGTACATCACCTCAATGTTTATCTCCATGTGTTATGCTAGATTATATATTTGAAGAAATAAAATATATTCTGTGCTTTCCTAATTGAAATTTAATTGTAAATCAAATATAAGTAAACAAAAATGGCCACCATTGCTCCCTTTAAAGCTGACAATTTGATTATTGCTACTTTGGTTTTCTGTTAAGTAAACTGTCATCCATTAAAATGACAGTTTGAACAGATGGGCTTTGAGACACCTTGGTGGCAGTTTACTGTGTAAAAGATGGAGTCAAACACCACAGAGAGTTACTGAGAACTAACCTTAAAGAAATTGTACTGTAGAACACAACATCCTGAGACTTTTATTTATTGCATTAGTTTTCTTCTTCTTCTTCTTTTTATTGAAAATAGATTCTTCTCTAATACAATACATCCCACCACAGTTTCCCCTCCCCACTATCCTCCTAGTTTTCCCTACCCCTCTCCTCTGCCCAGATCCACCCACTCCCCCTCCATTTGAATCAAAGTTCAGCCTCTTAGGAAATTCTGTTGCTTCGGGGAATTATGGTTTCAGAAGAACAGGCATTCTTTTTATCAATCAGATGTCACAGTAATAAAATCTGTCTTCAATTTCTAGATTTCTGAGCACATTTGTTATAGTGTTTATATCTAGCCTGGCATTTGACCTGATTCTAGTTTTTAGAACCTAATTGGAGTTTAGGTCCACCATTATTCACACTTTTCTAATTGTGTTAGATGAAGTGTAACCTTGTGTGAGGAATGACGCTCAGGGAAAACTGCGTGAGTTGTGTCTGGTGTTGTACTTAAATACATAAAACAGGACCAGTTCTTGCTGACTTTCTGTTGTGCATAATGTACCTTTGATGTTATTACTTCATAATAATCTCAGGAAGTTTTCTAATTGTACATATTCTTTGCTTGGAAAATAAGCTCTTTTATAAATCTTTTGTATTTGTTATATGGTCATTATCTGTTGACAGATAAAGTTGTGTTCAACTTTCAGTTTTGGACTGTATCAGTACTCAAGTCATTTTGACATGTTTCTTCTGGAACTTTAATTTGTGTGCAAGTAAACTATTTGATATTTAAAGAGGCTTTTTAAATGGAGTGATTTCATAGTCGGGTTGCTATTTCTGTCAGGAAAGCTTTCTTCGAGATACCAGATGTGAATTAAATTCTCCTAGGGAAATCAGTGCTGTTTCTTGGTTTGTCACAGAACAAAATGCCAAAAAGAAATGATAAAAAAACAAATTGCCCAAGATGATATATTTGCCATGATGGAAGTTGGAGGCTTTATCTACACAAACAGATTAGATCAATTTGGAACTTAAAATTCTGATTTAATTTGCCCTGCTTTCTATGTCTGGGGCAGACCGATGTGAATTCTAATCCTCAATGTCCTATAAAATGGATGGCACAAGGCTTCTCTCTTGTACTTTTCTCCAGGGTATGATCAATAATTTTCCTTTACTTTGTTCTGACTTTTGAAAGAGAATCTGTCAACTTGGCTTCCTGCTGTGTTTTATGCCTCATTTTGAAAAAAAAAAAAAAGGAAAAAATCTTTAGTCAAATGAAATGTTAAAATTGTTTATTTCCAATGATGCTTTGTTTACTGGAGTTAACTTTTATTTTTCATTAAATGAATGTACCATCAGCTAGTCTGAAGCACATTGAAAAATCTTTGCTATTTAAATGACTGACAACAGGATAGATATTATGTGCAGATAAGCAGGATATTTTGAAGACTCTAAGTTTGTGCTAACATTTTTAAAAGAAAATGATTATTTAAAGTAACAGGTTTCAACTGAAAGCTTGTTAACTGAAATTTGGTTGACTGCTAAATAAGTATGATAAATAATTTTATACATGCTATTTATAGCTTAAAGTAGAAAGACTATGTCACATACCAAGAAGTACTTTGAGTTTATTAGAATATGAAAATATTAAGTATCTTAGATAATATCAAGTATCATATATGAAGACCTCACTCAGATAAAAACGAATCCTCATTTTTTTTTTTTTTTTTTGGTTTTCCGAGACAGGGTTTCTCTTGTGTAGCTTTGCGCCTTTCCTGGATCTCACTTGGTAGCCCAGGCTGGCCTCGAACTCACAGGGATCTGCCTGGCTCTGCCTCCCGAGTGCTGGGATTAAAGGCGTGCGCCACCACCGCCCGGCTAATCCTCATTTTTACTGTAAGTGACATGCTTCATTCAGATTCTCCCAGTTTATATCCTGAGGTAATAGACCAATGTTAAATATAGTATAATTAAATTGCTTATGAGAACTGTACTTAGTATCAATCAATTTTGAGTGAAGAATTGTTTGATCTAAATGCCACTTCAAATACACTGATATCTGATAACACAATAAATTCCTAATATACTTAGGGATTGTCTGAAGAATCCACATAGATATAAAAATTCTCAGATATTCAAGTATTTTCAGGGAATGGAATGATATGTGATGGTCTCCCCCCCACCCCAACACACACAGTACATACCCTTCTGTATGCTTCATATAATCACGAGATTAGGCATCATATGGATTGTAGTCTAAATAGCTTTAATGTTATATTTTTACAGCAATGATAACAAGAATATTTATATGTTCTATTCAGATAAATATTATTTTCAAGTATCTTTTTATGCATGTGGGTAACTAACCATAGGCAGAGCAGGTCACTTTTAAGATGATTACATTGTTAATAGAATAACTAAGCATAAAAATCAAAGAAATATAAATGACTTTTCATTTTATTTTTATCTCTTTAAATTAGTTTCTATCCTCCTGAAAACATCAAGTATTGCTTTCAATTATCAATTGTGATATTGCTAATTTTCTTCTATTTTTATTTTATTTGGAAGTTTTCCATTCTAACCATAGGATATTTTGACCTTGACATTTAAGAGGATGCTAACATGTTGCACTTTGTCATGTTATATTATGTTATGATGGTATGTGGTGCTAGTTACTCATTTTATGCAAGGTTCAGTATGTATTCTAGCTGATATCAAATGCATAATCCTCTGGCCTCCTCTCCCAAGTACAGAGCTAACTGGTATGTTTTGCTATGCCTAGTTAAGAAGATTCTTAATTTAAAAATGTAAACATATTTATTTTCCCTTGGTATGTGACTCATACATACAGAATTATTATATTTTTCATTAGGATAGGAAATATCTGACATTAAAAATCGTAGTTATATTTATATGAGCAAAGTGGATGAAAACGGCAATGGGAACTCTGACTCACTGCCAGGCTGGGTCGTTCCCTCTATTGCAAACTATGATGACTGAAGTATGGCAGTTCTTTCTAACAGAACTATTACTTCTAATTTGTACTGAACACAAAGAATTTTGATAGAAAAGGACCGAAAACAATTACCCTTCAGAGGTGGCAACAGTCGAGAAAGGGAATTGTGTGAGGTAGCATCTGGAAGGACTAATGCTGAGAGCAAGCTTTCCTAGTCATCCCCATCATCTCTGAATAGACATTGGTGAAAACGTGTCTCAATGGTGATCCTTCATAAAAGAAGGTGGGGTGATTTTAATAGATACAAACTTCTCTATTTGAAGGGCTATATTAGTTTGATAAGACTGGAATCATGAAGTAAGACCAATTATGTGCCTTACATAACAAATTTTTCTCTCATCTTTAGAAACCAGAAATTTTCCAAAGTAAATAAAAATGTTGGCAGTCTCTTGTGTCCTCCATGCTTGGATTGTAAATGGCCATCTCTCTCTGTGTACACATGGTCTTTATGTACTCACCAACCTATGTCCTAATTCTCATTCGAATAGATACATTTTAATTACTTATCGTTTTGAAAGATCCATCTTGAAGTGCAGTCATGTGTAAAGTATTAAATGGGAGTATAAAACTTTAGTGCATTAACTGTAAGGCAGACACATAGCTCACCGCAGTGACCTTTTGACCTTCCTGGAGTCACTTTTGCATGTCAGCCATTTTCTACTCGATGACATTTCTTCGAGGCCATTTCTGACTGTGATTTATATACCATCAGTTGTGACACTGCCTTCCCCTTACTTCAAGTTAAATCGGGTCACCTTGTGTCATCACTTTCACAACTTCGCCGACACTCAGGAGGGGATGTGCATCTTCTCTCTGCTGCTGCTACTGACACACTGTGGACAGAAATTTAGAATTTCAGTGACACAGTAGTGGGAAAGAGGAAGAATGGCATTCTTAGTAAGAGAGGATTAAAGACTATTTGCATACAGAGCTGAATAGGGATGAGAGGCAATCAAGAGTCTCAAGAGCTTTCTGGCTCTGAAAGAGTTCCATCCTTGCCCTATGAATTTTGAGAAACTTATAAATCTTGTTTCTTTTTTAAAATTTATTTCTTTTTGCCTTGACTGTCAGTATGCAATATCTAATTCCCATCCATATGTATTCAAACTATATAATCCAATGGGTATTAATCTTTTAAAAATATATTAGAAAGATACATCGTACTTAAGATAATCTCTTTTATTGACAACAGGAAATAGGGCAGGGCCAGTGAAACTGAGGCAGCTGACACCAGTCACAGGTTTGGACTCACGATTCTAACATGTAAGCTTAGATCAGGTTTTCACATATATTCATAGTTGGGTAGAACTGGGGCAGAAAGTATATATCCACCATAGTCACAACATAGAAAATACGTAGTTGTAAGTACCATAGTTTGAAGGAATCTAATAACTTGACAAAATGAATTATTTTAAGATTATTAAATTTTCCTCTCTAGTACCAACCTTGAGGTTTTAATTTAAATTTGCCACCTACATCTGACTGATTAAGAAGCATAGAGAGGTGGTTTGCTAAGTATGCTTATGGATGAGGCTTTGCCTAAATGCCATGTCATCTTTAAGTGATGAATACTGTTCTCTGTATATCACAGAGATCATCATCGATATCTGTTATATGCACATATATTTATAAACATAATGTTTAAGTCAATTAAATTATGAATATTAACAAAAATTCCTAAATATTCACACATTTACTAATATAAATTTTGAAGTAACAGTAAACTACAAACTAATACTTTATATCTAGGAATATACTAATGATTTTTGTCAACAATTTTAAAATATTTATTGATATAATTCACAATATTAGAGATTATTAGAGATAGGGCAGTTGGAAGATCTGTCTTTTCTATGTCTCTATTTTTCTATTTCTATTTCTTACATTAATAGTGCAAGAAAGAAACAAAAATATGATCATTTGATATTTACATAATAAAACTTGTAAATAAAATTATGCAAAAAATATCAGTAACTTAATAATAAAGACCTACCTACTTACTTGGCAAAAAGTATTGAAGGTTTCAGAAAATTATAAGGAATAGACAAGTAAAAAAAAAGTTACATGTATATATGATTGTATGTATGTAAGTATGTGTGTATGCATATATGTATGTACATATGTATGTATGAATCTTACAGTTGTTATAAAGAAAATGATATTCTTGTGACTGGGGTTTTAACATGTTCCTCCACCTCTTCTTTGCTCTAACCATATAAACTACTGGGAATTTTGGAATTGAAGCCTTGCTCTTTCAAGCTTCTCTAGGCTTCTGTTAAATTGCTTTTCCTGCTGTTTTAAACTAGTGACCTTTACATCCCCTTTTACCCTCTCGGCACAAATTTACCCTTTTTCAAAATTTTCCTTGACTCCCTCAGAGTTAGTAAAGTCATTCTGTGTGACCCCCTTTCTATATCATTCTGGAAATTGAATTGTAATTATATTTTTAATGTCAGTTCTTTCCCAACTGAATAGGTTATTTTTGAGGGCAAGGACAAAACATTAATCACCGTATTCCTGGAAACTCACAAGGTGATTGGTCAATTATAAAACTTAAATACAGGCTTTTAAAGATATAAATAAATCCACAAGAATTTTGTGTGTCTTTACTGAAGCTTGCGGTTTGTCTCTTCAAAAATCTCTATCCTGCTTTGCTCTAAAGTTATGTGGGCTATTTGATCTTCATATGTATAACATCAGTTTTGTCTCTGACATTTTAGCTGAAAGATGACATATTGACTACCATGAGCTAATGGGAGGACTGCTGTCATTGTTCTCAAAGTCAATACTGATTCCCTTTAGATAACCTGTTGTCTTGTACATTATTTCAAATTTATTAACCTGGCATGATTGTTACCCAGTAGAAAATATTCTTCAGAGTACAATGCAAGCACAAAGCTATGCATTCAAAAAGATACTTGACAATCAGTTTACAAAATCAGCTTGGCAGAATACCCCCTTTTCACTGGTAAGACTGATTAAAATATTAAATGTAAATCTAGAAAAAGCCATTTGTAAAATACGAGAACTAAGAAGAATGCATTGGCCAGGTGATCAATTTTTTTTCTGTACGAGCTTTTTGTTGTATTTAATTGCTTGCTTAACAATTAATTAATTCATTCCTTTTAAGATAAAGTCTCATTATGCAGCCCAGCTGGCCTGGAGTTTGCTCTGTGGTCCAGGCTGTCCTTAAATCTGTGACCTTGCTACCTCAGGAAACAGCATACTGGGCTGGCAGGTATGCACCACTGTGCCTCTCTCAATACATGCTTATTGGAGGATAATACTGTCCCATGGTTATATCTTGGAAGCAGAGCAAATATGCAGATATTCTTTGTTTTATCATACCTCTGCTGTTGGAGCATAGACTAGACAACCTCTAAGGGCTGACTAATCTCTTGCACATGGTGTAAAACTCTATGTTCCCACATGCTCTCCTTCCTCCCACATTCCTGCAAGAATGATCTTCAAGAAACAAGATAAAGAGTGGTCTTTTAAAATGCACAGCATTCTTTACCTTTTCACCGAGATGAACATTAGGCAAATGGATTTTTTGTTATGTATGCACAACTCTTATAAAATGAACTGTGTGTTTCTCCTTTCTTCCTACATTTTGCACAAAATGAGCACCTTTGCATTATTTATGTGGAGTGGGTAGAGAGTAGCAGTTGCTTTCAGAAAAAAAATACTTAAAAGTAAAAAAAAAAAAAAGATTTCCATATTAGTTTTTTGTAGCCCAGAACTTTGGCTTGATTAGTTTTAAAAATCTGAGAAATGCAAACCCTCTTTTGGTGGAAAGACAGGAGGAGTGAGGGAACTAGAAATATTGTAATAAATTATATTTTCATAGTCCAAGTCTGCTTCTAAAGCATACAAATAGACTTCATTGATTAAAAAAATACAGCATAATTCTTTTTTATACCAAGCTGATACTTGAATCTAAAAGTCTGAATAAAATTCCAAATGAAAGTTCAAATTGTTCAGAAAAAAAAAAAAAACTTAACTATTCACTGTTGTTGTTTGTTTTTCTTTTCTTTTTTTTTCTCTTTGTTCTTTTGGTTCTTTGCTCTTGGGGGGCCCACCAGCCAAATCACAAATAATCACACACACACACACACAAACACACACACACACACACACACACACACACACACACACACACACACACAGCTTTATTCTTACTTATAAATGCCCGGCCTTAGCTTGGCTTGTTTTTAGCTAGCTTTTCTTAATTTAAATTATCCCATGTACCTTATACCTCTGGGCTTTTTTTTTACCTTTCTCTCTTTCTGTATGCCTTTTCTTTCTTACTTACTCTGTTGCTGGTTGTGTGCCTAAGTTGCTGGTTCCTAAAGTCCTCCCGCTTTCTCTCTCATTTCTAGATCTTTCTCTTTTCCTCCCAGACTTTTTCTTCTTTGTATCTGCCTGTCAGCCCCACTTATCCTTTTTCCTGCCTTGCTATTGGCTCTTCAGCTCTTTTTTTTTTTTTAAGTGTTTCAAGACAGGGTTTCTCTGTGTAGCTTTGCGCCTTTCCTGGAACTCACTTAGTAGCCCAGGCTGGCCTCAACCTTACAGAGATCTGCCTGGCTTTGTCTCCCAAGTGCTGGGGTTAAAGGCATGTGCCACCACTGCCCGGCAGCTCTTCAGATCTTTATTAGACCACTAGGTGTTTTAGACAGGCAAAATAATACAGCTTTACAGAGTTAAACAAATGCAGTATAAAAGAATGGAACACAGCCTTGCATCATTAAACAATGTTCCACAGCACAAATAAATGTAACATATTTTAAAATAATGTTCTACTACAATTCACCATTTTATTTATTTAACAATACACCATTGTGATTGGTGGATGTATCTGTTTTAATATTTTTCAATATATATAAATTTACAGTATGCACCAGCATTTATAAAGTGGGGTTGAATAGCTAGCAGGTATTTCAAAATTTTCAATGTTTAGAGATTTAACATTTTTGATTTAAGAACTTTGATGACTGACATATTTCAGATGTATTTCCAGATGCAATTCAGATCATTAAGTTTTCCTTTCTGAACATCTTATGTGTTGTGCATAAATTAGGCTTAAACCTTTCATCACAAAGATATAAAAATGTCCATGGTAACTTCCTTGGCTGTATATTGCTAAGGAATATAATATAATGCTGTATACTGCTCAGACTTATAGTATGTATAGAATACTTTCCCTTAAGGGCTATGCCATTCCAACTGAGAAAGCTAATAATCCACACATCAAGACAATATGCTGAAAGCAAAGTGTAACTTTTATAAACAGGTAGTGTTTTTAATCTTTAATTTGGTCAAATAGGTGCTTTCTCTAATTGGTCTGTTTTCTTATTTCATCAAATGTTCTCTAGTAAGTAAAGCTATTCTACCTCACATTCATTGTGATTTGAAGGTATATCAGCTTCCATAGATTTCAGTTGAAAGAATCTAGGGGCTTGGTACCCAGAAGTCCTGACAAGCTGAGATTCCCAGCTGTATAATGGCTTTATCTGCAGAAGCTAGTCTAAGGAGAGGGAGAAATGGCTGCTGCTTTAAATGCATTGTTATCAGGTCAAGTCTACAAGGACCACAAGGAATCGGGCAAACATGACATCACCAAAGGAAGCTGATGAGAGCTCCCTATCTAACTCATGAGTGGGGACCATGAACTCTTGGATCAGAACTTAAGATAAATATTACAGAGTATGACAGAATGCAGACATATAAACAAAGCCAGGAGTAATAAATGATAAGAGCGAAGGTCTCAAAAGAAGCAGCTGACATGCAGAACCCAACAGAAACTTTGGAACCAAAGAATACAATCTCTGTACTT